TTTTTGTCTAAAGGGAAGTCACTCTTCATTCTGGATTTTTTGTGAATGGGGAGAAATCGGGCAAACTCCTAGCTAACCAAGTAAGGGGTCTAAAGCCATGTCAGTGTATAACCGCCATTAACTCAGATGATGGGCTCGTTACTGATCATGCCAAAATCAATGATGCATTCAGGGAATATTATCTGAAGCTTTATTCCTCTGAATCGCCCACCGACCACTCACTAATCACAAATTTTCTTAAAAGCTTAGACTTTCTTGAGCTGGCAGACACCCACAGAGAGATCTTGGATGCGCCATTTTCCAAAGAAGAGATTAGCACTGCAATTTTCTCTCTGCAGTCAGGGAAGTTCCCTGGCCCAGACAGCTTTTCGGTAGAATGACACTCCAGAATGGGTTCTTCACTTGATGCGGAAAAAGCATTTGACCGTATCGAATGGAACTATTTATTTGCTGTGCTGGAGAGATTTGGGTCCGGTCCCAATTTCATCTCATGGATCAAGTACCTATACTTCTCCCCTGTTGTGTCTGTTTGCACCAATAGCCAGAAATCAAAACCATTCCAACTTAAACGAGGCACACGTCAGGGTTGCCCCCTTAGCCCGTTGTTATTTGATCTAGCTATTGGACCCTTAGCAATGCTTTTTCGAAGCAGTAAACTTGTTCAGGGTCTACAAATAGGTCAAACTGAACACAAAGTCAATGAACATCTTTCCTAAATTCTTATACTTATTTCAATCTTTACCAGTCTTCATCTCCAAGTCTTTCTTTACAACTCTAGACTCGATAATCTCCTCTTATATTTGGAAGGGTAAACGGGTAGCTAAGGTGCATTTACAGAAACCTAAGATTGAAGGGGGTCTGGCACTCACCAACTTCCGCTTTTACTATTGGGCTGCCAATATTCGGTCCCTGACCTACTGGTTAAAGTCTGGGGAGGGTGTGGGACCCACCAACTGGCTGGCAATGGAATTAGACTCAACTCAGGGTATTTCTCTTGCCTTCTTTTTGGGTTCTTCTCTTCCTTTATCCACTGACAACTTTACATCTAATCCGATAATTCGGCACTCCCTCAGGGTGTGGGCGCAGTTCAGGAGACATTTCAATCTTAATAATTTTTCACTTCAAAGCCCCATCCTTTCAAACCACCTATTCCTCCCCCCAACGTTGGACAACTTGTTCCAGGTCTGGTCTAGAGCAGGTATTATTTGCTTTAAAGATCTCTTTGTACACAATAAACTAGTATCATTTGATCAGCTGTCAAAAAAATACAGTATCCCAAAACTCACTTTTTTAGGTATTTACAACTCAGACATTTTTTGCAATCCCACCTGTCCAATTTTCCAGAAGCTCCAGCTGCTAACTTACTAGACGAGCTCCTTAATTTCCAACTATCAGGCATTTCACGGGAGCTGGGGTTACACTGCAGTGTAACCCCAGCTCCCGTTGTAGGCTTCAAGTCCACATGGGAGAAGGAGTTGGGTATATCTATGTCAGATGACGTCTGGGACTCAGTCCTTTCTCTGGTAAATTCTAAATCACTCTGTGCCCGTCATTCCCTGTTACAATTCAAAGTAGTCCACAGGGCCCACTTATCTAAATCCAAATTAGCTAAGCTTTATCCCAGTTTAGACCCTTGCTGTAACAGGTGCGGGTCTCATGATGCCAATCTAACCCACATGTTTTGGACCCGCCCTGTCCTGGCAAATTTTGGGGAGGAGGTTTTCTGCACTTTGAACAAGGCTACCGGAAACTAGCTCTCAACCCCCTACTTGCTGTCTTTGGTACAACGGGAGAGGATTATAAGTATATTCCCAGAGCAAAGCGTAGGGTGCTGTCTTTTGGTTCCCTCCTGGCTAGGCGTACAATTTTGATGAGGTGGAAGGCTGCTGCCCCGCCCCTCCATGTTCGGTGGCTTGCTGATCTCATGTCGTGCCTCAGTCTGGAAAAGATCCACTGCTCCATCCAGAACCAAAAGGGCACATTTGATAAAATGTGGGGTCTCTTTCTGGAAAACTTCTCTAAACTTCAACTTAAGGATGTTCCAGCTGACTAACGGATTTGCGTCTCCATAGAGGTCTGGTGTCTGTCTGTGTTAATGGGAACGTGAAGCTCAGTGATGTCGTAGCAAACTTCTGAGTGGTTCTTAAGGGAAGGGTTAGTTAATATCATAATCCCTCCCAGGTTGTGGCTTTTGTTATTTTGTTGGGTTTTTTGTTTTTGTTTTCTCTCTCTCTCTCTTTTTCCTTTTACTGGGATTTTTTTTGTCGCTTGTTTGATAAATTAAAAGAGCAAAACAATGTTCTCACCTGAGAAATTCTGTTTTGTATTCAATGTAAACAGTTTGTGTTTTCCCTCTTCTTTTTTCTTTATAAACTGTGTCCACAATTAATAAAAAATATTGTGAATAAAAAAAGAAAAAGATAAGATGGGGCCTGATTATTTAAGACCTTGTATGTGATTAGCAGGACTTTGAATTCTGGATTTAACAGGAAGCCAATGAAGGGAAGCCAATACAGAGATGAGTCCACTGTCAGAGGCCATAAGAAGATCATTTGTAACCTGCACTAAAGCTGTTTCTGTGCTGTGCTGAGCTCTGAAACCTGACTGAAACTCTTCAAATAAACCTCTGCAGATGATCTGTTAGCTGTTTGACAACTACTCTTTCAAGGATGTTTGATATAAAGGAAGGTTGGAGATTGGCCTATAATTAGCTAAGACTGCTGGGTCTAGAGATGCTTTTTGAGTAAAGGTTTAACTACAGCCAGCTTGAAGGCCTGTGGTACATAGCCTGATCATTAGAGATAGGTTGATCATATTTAAGATCGAAGAATTAATTAATGGCAGGACTTCTTTGAGCAGTTTTGTAGGAATGGGGTCTAAAAGACACGTTGATGGTTTGGAGGAAGTAATTATTGAAGTTAACTCAGAAAGATCAATTGGAGAAAAAGAGTCTAACTTAACATCAATGGTACTAAGAGTAGCTGTAGATAATATTACATCTGTGGGATGATTATTGGTAATTTTTTCTCTAATGATAAAAATTTTATTTGTGAAGAAGTTCATGAAGTCATTACTAGTTAACGTTAAAGGGATGGTTGGCTCAAAAGAGCTCTGACTTTTTGTCAGCCTGGCTACAGTGCTGAAGAGAAACCTGGGGTTGTTCTTATTTTCTTCAATCAGTGATGAATAGTAAGATGTTCTGGCTTTGCGGAGGGCTTTCTTATAAAGCAGCAAACTATTATTGATGCTATTTATTTCAACATGTGAACAATATACAAGTACATTTAGAAAAGAAATAAGAGAGAAAAAAATACTATACAAATTACATACAAAAAACCATTCTGATTAATTTACATGTTGAAAGGGAGTGGGAAGAAGTATACACTTATTTAATCCCACCCCTTTGCCATAAATTATCAGTGAATATTTAGTCAGCTTCCTTACTGATATAATTTGTAATAAAAATAGTGAACAGATTTCTGATATACTATATACTATAATATCACATCATGAATTTTTTGTTTGTTTGTTTGTTTTTAAATAGAGACAACTATTTCTCCAGGCTAAATGATGATCCTCTAAATTTGTGACACGCCATTTCCTCTCCAGATTACGAGTCATCTGCTTTAGGCTACGTGTTTGAGAATTATACCACGGAGTCAGGTACTTCTGATTTGAGACCTTAGTTTTCACAGGAGCTACAGTATCCAGAGTCGTACGTAGTGAGGAGGTGAAATTATTAACAAGATAATCGACCTCTGTTGGGGTAGCGTTCAGATAGCTGCTCTGCTCTGTGTTGGTACAGGGCATTGAAGATGATAACAGTGGGTGGATTATATTCTTAAACTTAGTTACAGCACTTTCAGAAAGACATCTACTTTGATAAAGTCTACTCTCCACCGCTGTGTAATCAATTATTGTAAATGTAAATGTTATCAGGAAATGATCAGACAGCAGAGGGTTTTCAGGAAACACTGTTAAATGTTCAGTTTCTATGCCATATGTTAAAACAAGATCTAGAGTGTGATTAAAGTGGTGGGTGGGTTCTTTTACATTTTGAGAGAAGCCAATTGAGTCTAATAACAGATTAAATGCCATGTTGAGGCTGTCATTTTTAGCATCTACATGGATGTTAAAATCACCCACAATAATTATTTTATCTGAGCTCAGAACTAAATCAGATAAAAAGTCTGAGAAATCAGACAGAAACTCTGTGTAAGGCCCAGGTGGACGATAGATGATAACAAGTAAGACTGGTTTCTGAGTTTACAGCTGGGGTGGACGATGGCTAAGCATCAGGCTTTTTATGTGGTGAGAGGGAAACATGAAGATGAAACCAGGAGATGTCCTTACTGGATCATCAGAGCTGAGCAGGTGATGGAGAAACAGGTTTACCTTTTAGGTGACATGAATGAGTTGAAGGGAAGTTATGAACTGTTTCTGAGAGACAAATAACACAACTCTGTTGCTTGTGAAGCTCGCACACAAGAATTTCACTCACATGTGCTGTACCAATGTACCTGCACATGTGATGTGACAATAAAAGTGATTTGATTTGATTTGAAATAACACCAGGATCCTTTTCTAAGCAGCTGGTAACTGCAGGGGCGGGTCTAGCAACGTTTTGCCAGGTAGAGCATTAACTGCTCAAAATGCCTGGGCCCATTTTTTGTCCCAGTCGAGCCCTGGCAGCGGCTATTTAGCGGAGAGCTCACCTAGTGAAACTGCATCCCCATCCCACTCTGACACCAGTGGAAAAGACCACGAGAGAGTAAACATTGTGAGGTGTGGGCCCTGGCTCACCTGCACCAACTTTCTGATGAACAAAGTGTGGCTGCTGTCTTCATCACATAGGATCACATCAGCATTTAATGTATGTATGTGAGAGCTGCAGCTCATGGTGGTTTCAAATGACTGTGGACCGCACTGTCCGGCTGGCTGTTAACAGCCGAGTCCGTTTTTCCATCTTTAAAGAAAAAATGGCACGAGCTTCCTATTGAAACGTCATTTCCGGCTCCTCTGTCTCAAAGCAAGATGGCGGCCGTGATAGAGAGAGTTGATGGATGTGTTGGGTCCTTGGACTCAGATATCGTGTCACTAAGACATACACCCCCTCCATCGGACCAGCAGCACCAGAACAACCCCCTGCTGGGCCTGCCCATCGTGGCCATCGAGACCATCCTCAACTTCCTGTCCTACGATGAGATCAGCCTGCTGCGCTCGGTGAGAACAAAAACAGCAGCAAAGCTAATGCTAGCCAGGGCTCCGAATCCTGTTTGGGTAGCACTCGTGTAAAGGCAGCGCAGACATCAGGCTGTTTCACATCCGTGCTCCAGTCTGGAGCCGTCTGTTTGCAGCCACGGCCCGCATTGTGCTCCTCGAATTAGCAAGACAGCCGAGATGAGCAGGGCTGGGATACACGACACAACACTATCACACAACTGTCAGAGCGCAGATGAATGTTGGTCACGGAGTTGTTTGCAGCCAGTACCGGGCTCGTGGCTGTCCTTATGTAACTCTGTGAGGTTAGTAGAAGCCGCGCAGCTCCATTCACCTACACTTCAGTCTGCTCGGCACACAGCCTGGAGGCTTCGTTCTTCTCCTGCTGTGCAGAATCAGTCGCTGTCATATGGTAGTTTGCGTTTGCTGAGGAGTTCGTGGCTCACTGGCTAAGTGAGGTAATAAGACTGCTGTGCACTACCCGTGTTTTCACTGACATTTGCAGATGAACTTAATGTTGTGACTGGAACCGTTTTCCTGCTGAGATACTCATAGCTACTAAACACTCCCCTCTTGATGCCAAGTATTGTGACATGTAATACAAACAAGATGTGCAATGAAGATTTTTTTGTCATTACACAATGCTCTGTGGACTGTGTCATACCTTACTTACCAGTATGAGCGGTGCAGCTGTGTCAGCAGATACGTATCAGGTCAGTGTCAAATGACTGTTGATATTTAATGGTCAGGTTTAACAAAGTGACTTCATGACTTCTGTACATGTGGACTTTTTCCTTAAGCAGCAGAAAGCGTTTCCTCCAGTCTAACCCAAAGTAGAATTCAGCCATTGCTTTTTCCTCTGATCCCCTTAACGGTGACATTCGGGAGTAGTTTTTGCAGCAGGATTGTAAGAGGGGATGGTAAATATTCCTTTGAAAACAACAGGAATGATAAGAGCCAATGTATCAGCTCTTAAAACTGTGAATGTAGAGACTGGAAGCCCTCCACTTTATCCAAAGCACTGTGTCAAGAATCCCATGTAGGCAAATAACTTGAAACTCTGAATTGCTACGTACTCATCAGATTACCTGTCCACCTGTTCTCTCTGATCTGTCTTCAGGTATGCAAGCGTATGGACATGATTTGCCAGCGTGTCCTGAATCAGGGATTCCTGAAGGTGGAGCGTTACCACAGCCTGTGCCAGAGGCAAGTCAAAGCCCAGCTGCCCAGGTCAGTATCACATCACAAGTTATTCCACTCTCACTGCACTCTGGTTTTCTTCAGGAACTCTCCTTTATTTAATTATTTGGCCAACTTTAAGAAGCTTGGAAATGACTTTATACTTTTTCCTTGATCTGAATGAATTGGCTGGCACTTATGTAGAGCGCTTTTTTGTCATAATCATCTCATCCTTACACAAGTATTTTTTCTAAATTCTTCATAAGCCGGGATATAAAATTCACATGTACCTTGTACTAAATGAAAGCATTGTATTTAAATGCAGAGGAGGGAAAAGTCATTGTTCATAAAACAAAACTACAGGTACTGGTTGGTGAGTTAGGACATTGGGAGACAAAACCAAATAAAACATCCTTAACAAACAAAGTGTGTTCTCATGATATCCTTCTGGTAAGGTGCTTCTGTCAGTAGGGTGGGATTTAAGTCCTTGATTCCCATCAAGGACGAGAGCATGATGGGTAACGTCCAAACTGCATCCAGGATAGAAACAGCTGCATTATGCTGCTAACACAACTTCAGCTCTTTCCAAGCACATGCACAGATAGCATGCTAATTCTAAGCTAGCCACGATCCCAGAGTGATGTGAAAACTGACTGAATGCTAAGCTGACCACAGCGGCCAGACCCTGAACTCCAACAGGGAAGAAGCTTGATAATCAGTCAGGCTGCAGTGTCCGTTTATACGGGTTCAGCTTTGTGTTCATACCTAAATGTCAAGAGAAGGATCATTTGTGTGTCCTTATTATGGATTTGTGCTGGTGGCTGGGACTGCTTTACACAGTCTGAGCTTTCAGACCCTTTTTATTACCCCTCAGCTGTAAAAGGCTGATGGGGTTTTGCTATCACCCAGCCAGATGAGCAGGCAGTGTGGGCACCCAAGTTTGTGAATGCAACAACTCAAGAATGAGGCGACGTAGAATTCAAACCATAGGTGCATCTACTAAAAATCTTGGATGAGTTTAAATCCGGGTAATCTTAACCTCAAGGTCAAAGGTCAAGTTTTCCAAAAATCATCAGGGATTTTCACATTTCTACTGGTGGCTGCCGGTAGAGCAGGGCGATATGACCAAAAATATTTATCACGATATACATTTGAAAATTTGCGATAACGATATAACTGACGATATAATTGACACGAGACAAAATACTTTACAACTCCACAACTTTATCAGTGCAAAAAAACCCCATCAATGTATTTTAACTTAAACAAGCAGCTGTTTCTTATGTGCATTAAAGTTATATAAACTTTAACAGAGCAAATTCCTCGCTGACAGTTTAACCGAAAGGCGTTTCCAGTGGAAACTGGCCGACACATCCTCAGCATAACCATGTATAACATCCACAAAACTTAAAAGAGCTTATACACACACAATACGGTAATATTATGCTGAAGCACAGTACGTATCACTCCGCGAGGCTCCGCCTACGATAGCCGTAATGCTCCGACAATCTATCAAGTGGTGCGGCTTCGTAGCTCAGCAAAGTCGTACTGAAACCTTTGACAGATTTTCGAGCGCTGTGCACATAAAACCGTTTCGAGGTCAGTAAACACAACCAGAGTTCATACATAAGGCACACGGGGTTATAAGGGGCTCTGTCGATTTTCAGAAAAATCAAAGGATGATTTTAAGTGCGCCGTATTTTCCAAACAACACGGTAATAACGACGGCCCGCTAGCATGCGCTACCAAAAATAGTGCTTTGTTGTGTATCTGACGGACGAAAGCTAAACCAGTTCCACACCAGTGAAGCTGCAGCATTTTTACAAACCAGTTCAGCTTCATCTGTTTCATTCAAAGATCCGCTTCGCTCTTCTCATTCTGCGTCGCCGCCATGTGCGTATGAAAACAAAGGCACTGCGCATGCGTGTTTTACCCATATTCTATCGCCATATTTCATTTTCTTATCATTGCCCAACATTACACCGGTATTACCGTGAACGGTATGATATGGCCCAGCCCTAGCTGCCGGTATGTCACCATTTTAATTCCAGCCCTATTTATCTGACCTTCATGTGAAGTTCATGGTGTCGGCCTGATGCTGAGGCCTGGTAGCTTCAGATAATAGTTACCAGACAAAGTAAAAGCAGGTCAGAGGCTCTCTTCCCTTCTGCTTGGTTTCTGTGTAAACAAGAAGCCAAGATTCTTACAGCATATGTGAGCATGGTGTATTGTGTCCACAATATGTATCTATCTTCTCTCTTGTATGTATTATTGTAGGGTCTACCTTAGAGTGTGTGTGTGTGTGTGTGCGTGTGTGTGTGTGTGTGTCCTCGTCAGCCTCCTTTTTTGGCAGCTTCTTTTGGCAGCTTCCATCTCACCATAAACCAAAAATCACTTTATGCCTGTGAAACACACACACGCCTTAAACACTGAAAGCACTTCTCTGCCTAAACACTTTGTCTAGTGTTCACAACCAAAACTTTTCAGCTTTTAATTTTGTGCAGTTGGCAGTAAACTCCATGCCCCAAACCTCAGTAAATTATGTTTGTGTCATTCATTTCAATATTCTCCTCCCACTCGTTTGCCCTCTATGAAAGAGAAACTCCTACAAATACAGATATAATAAGGAGCTTTAATTGGAGTAGTAACTTCCATCTTTCAGACACTGTGTTCTTTTGGGGTTTTTTGTGTTTCTTAGTCAAACCTACAATAGTTTCTTGACGTCATCACAGGCTTTTGTGCTGTGCTGACTGCGAGTGCCTCCTGTGTCTGTTACAGGCTCTATTTCTGATCCTTTTCAAACAAGTTTGAATCCCACTTCTAAAACAAGTCAAATGAGTCTTGAACAGTAAATCTTTTAAATTTCCCCTCCAAGCTTTGAGTTTTCTTAATGACGTCAAGAAAAAGATCATATGAATGATATAAATGACAATACATAGAAATGGATATTCTTTAAAGTTCTCTTCATGTTTCCATTGTCTCCCAGGAGAGAGTCAGAGAGGAGAAACCACTCCCTGGCCCGTCACGCTGACATCCTGGCTGCTGTGGAGACCCGCCTTTCACTACTCAACATGACCTTCATGAAATATGTGGACTCCAACCTGTGTTGCTTCATCCCTGGAAAGGTTAGTGTAGCTGCTACTGGCAAACAACTCTGCAGCATCAGTAGTTTTCAAGACAGAAGGGAAAAGTTCTCATTTAAAAAGCTCATTTTTTCCTTTTGCAGCAAGTCCACATTATTCCACATTTATTTTTCTTTTTTATGCATTTAGTTTATGTTCTATGGACCCCTGTCTGTTAATAAAGTGAAACGAATCCCTGCTTTGGTGTTTGCCGTGACATGCTATAATTTGTTCCTGGGTCTGGCGCTTCATGCAGGATGGTAAACAGATGAGTCCAAAGCAAGTTTTAGTCAAATCCAGATGCTGAATATGGCTCTTGTGCTTTTAAATATAGTGATATAGGTAGGGCTGCTCAATTAATCGAATTTTAATCACGATTACGATCTGGGCTTTCAACGATCATTAAAAATGACTGAGCCGATTATTAGCCCCTCCCTCGTGCTTTACTCTCGCGCTGCTCTGTGTGGCAAATCGAGCGCACCTCTCTGCATTTCAAACACGCGTCACAACAACTAAGAGGACCCGAGGGAAGCTCGGAAAGCTAAACAGAAGTTATTTGGAGAGGAGAGTGACTGCTGTTGGTTGAAAAGAGAGGTAAAAACCTTCAGTGGTGTGGAAGCATTATGGGTTCAGTCAGACGTGGATCAAGTAGACACAGTGTGTAAACTTTGCTACAGTGTCGTAGCTGCACCACAGAGCAACACTGCAAAGTTCACTAAACATAGATGTTTACATTTATTTCTTATATTGCAAACATTTGCACTGTTATCAGTATTTGCACACTATTTTATATTATTTTTTTAAAGTCATTATTCAACAAATTGTTATTATTAAATAAATATCGTCAAATAATCGAGATCTCAATTTCAGTGAAAATAATCGTGATTATCATTTTTGCCATAATCGAGCAGCCCTAGATATAGGTATAAATATGAATATAAATATAAAAGGACAAGTATGTGTGCAGGTATTTATGGTGGTATACAGAAGTGACAGGGTGCAGTGAGGTGTGACTATTTCTGTGGACCTGACTGATGTGGATGAATTACAGAGTCTGACAGCAGCATGAAGGAACGAGCTCCTGTAACGCTCCCTCAGACAGCCAGGTTGAAGGAACCTGTTGCTGAAACTGCTCTTCAGATTGTCCAGTGTGTTATGTAGGGGGGAGTCATTTTCCATGATTGCCAGCAGTCTTGCCCGCATTCTGTCCCTGATCACCACCTCCAGGGCGACGAGCTTCATGCCAACAACAGAACCAGCCTTCCTCGTTAGTTTGTTCAGTCTGATTGCATTGTCCTATTAAGGTTTATGGAAATCAGTCTGCAGTTGGCTCATCATCAGGAGGGTTTGATCAAGTAACTACCAGGGCCATCTGCTGCGACCGGTTGGGGTGAGAGAAGGAAGACAGGAAAGAGAGATTGAAACTATCATCTTGTCTTTATTTTTAGTTAGCACATACCTTAAACACTTAAAGCTGTAAGCTAATGATAGTTATATAAGAGCAGATGCTGCTGGTGCAATAAGCTGTACGTTTTATGTTCAATGGATGATGATCTGATTAGTCGACTAATCGCAAAAATAATCGGTGACTAGTCGACTATCAAAATAATCGTTTGTGGCACCTACTTAGGGATGGGTATTGATAAGATTTTCACGATTCCGATTCCATTTTCGATTCTGTTTAACGATTCGATTCTTTATCGATTCTTTTTAAAAAAGGAGAACACTAAGGTCGATTAGCTTAGAACTTTGTTTTATATCTTCTCTTTGAACAAGATAGAAATTTAGGAGTAACATGGCCTTACAAACCCAACAGTGAGATCTTAAGAGATCCAGCCTACGGCTCTTCAATGGGGTGTCACAGGGTCCCCAGGGAAAAAAAATTGTAAATGTAAAATAATAAAATAAATATTCTTCTGTAGCAATAACAAAGTATAACATAAATTATTCTGTAGCAATTACACAAGAATATCCAGTAATGTCCCTGCCTACAATTAAACACATTCACTTACCGAAAATCATCTGCTGTGGCAAATGGGTGCAAGCCTTTGACCACAAACTTAGTCACTGCTCGGTGACATTCGTCTATCCTGGCCTGAAAGGAGACGCTACCGGTAGACTGCAGCGAGAACTGCCAGCATCTGAGCCAGACTCTGTCTGTCTCATCACGGTCACCTAAATGCACAGTAATGGCAGGTTTTGTAATAAGGCAGATCGCGCTAACATAATATGCACTGTTAGTTGATTATTTACCTGCCGCATTAACGGGAGAGGACGTGCAAACGTTACCGCTGCTGCTGGGTTGAGATTCACGAGTCCGGAGCGGAATTAAAAACACGACATTCATTTAAGGTCATCGCGTGTTTTGTGAGCAAATGCTTTTGCATATTCGTAGTGTTTCCTCCCTTAAATGAAATATCTACTTTGCAAGTATTGCAAGTTGCCCTGTTGTCATCCGTTCTCGTAAAGTATAACCAAACTTTTGAGCATTTGAGCCGCTTGACCGTGTTTCCTGCCAGGTAAATGACGCTCCGCAACGTGGTGACGTCATTCGGGGCGACTGGAATCGATAAGGGAATCGTTTGCAAAAATGGCAAACAATTCCAAGGAATTGAAACAGTGGGAACCGGTTCTCAACAAGAACCGGGTTTTCGATACCCATCCCTAATCATTTGTAACCTTCACTAAAGCTGTTTCTGTGCTGTGATGAGCTCTGAAACCTGACTGAAACTCTTCAAATAAACCATTCCTCTGCAGATGATCTGTTAGCTGTTTGACAACTACTCTTTCAAGGATGTTTGATATGAAAGGAAGGTTGGAGATTGGCCTATAATTAGCTAAGACTGCTGGGTCTAGAGATGGCTTTTTGAGTAAAGGTTTAACTACAGCCAGCTTGAAGGCCTGTGGTACATAGCCGATCATTAGAGATAGGTTGATCATATTTAAGATCGAAGAATTAATTAATGGCAGGACTTCTTTGAGCAGTTTTGTAGGAATGGGGTCTAAAAGACACGTTGAAGGTTTGGAGGAAGTAATTATTGAAGTTAACTCAGAAAGATCAATTGGAGAAAAAGAGTCTAACTTAACATCAATGGTACTAAGAGTAGCTGTAGATAATATTACATCTGTGGGATGATTACTGGTAATTTTTTCTCTAATGATAAAAATTTTATTTGTGAAGAAGTTCATGAAGTCATTACTAGTTAACGTTAAAGGGATGGTTGGCTCAAAAGAGCTCTGACTTTTTGTCAGCCTGGCTACAGTGCTGAAGAGAAACCTGGGGTTGTTCTTATTTTCTTCAATCAGTGATGAATAGTAAGATGTTCTGGCTTTGCGGAGGGCTTTCTTATAAAGCAGCAAACTATTTCTCCAGGCTAAATGATGATCCTCTAAATTTGTGACACGCCATTTCCTCTCCAGATTACGAGTCATCTGCTTTAGGGTACGTGTTTGAGAATTATACCACGGAGTCAGGTACTTCTGATTA